ATAAATTTGTTCACAATGTGTTCTATGTACTGGGTTTAATTGACTTCTGGATATCTGTAGATTTTATTCCCGTAAGATGTCCAACAATCAAGAAGCTTGGGAATAAATACTGTGTGTGTCTGATTTGCGCAATCTGACTGGCTATTTCTGCAGGTTTCACCTGTAAAAGCTGCCGTATGATAGACAAGTTCTCAATTGACTTTGGATTCCCAGTTCCCTCTACTGCTTCCTCTGTATATAATTAAACTTGCTCTAGTAGCTTCTGGGATCAAAGGAAGTTGGGCTTAAAGTGGACAGTGGATTAAGGTTGCAGTCCAGTCAGAAACATTGGTAAAGAATAATAATAATAATTTATTATTTGTACCCCGCCCATCTGGCTGGGTTTACCCAGCCACTCTGGGCGGCTACCAACAAAGATGAAAGATACACTAAAATGTCACATATTAAAAACTTCCCTGAACAGGGCTGCCTTCAGATGTCTTCTGAATGTCAGGTAGATGTTTATCGCTTTGACATCTGATGGGAGGGCGTTACACAGGGCGGAAAGCACTATAGCGTTAGAATGTAACATACGAATGATAGAAGACTCTGTCTTATCTGACTTTGAGCTGCTGTTGTCTGTTTGAATATTAAATGCATTGCACAGTATTGAACATTGTCCAGTGTTAAACTCATACACAGGATTGAAGGGCAGGTGAGTGTGTTTCTACTCTGCTGTAGAAACTCAGATATATAAGCTAGGTGACAAATGGCTTCTTAAACCAAGGTGTCAGTTGCCAAAACGGAATGTCTAGTTGCCATTTTGGGGCCAGATGTATCTAAAGTCTTATTTTTCAAATGATGGACTAACTGTAATTGATTCTCAGTTGAACATCCGGCTAGTTCAAGTAACAACCTTGAGCTAGGTTAAGAACTTAAAGAAGATAAATCACTTGGTGCAGGGACATTCCACATATATACCGGCCTATTCCTACCTCCTTTTCTGAATGGTGTCACGGACCAAAATATAACTGATAGAATTCTACAGGATGTGGTGTTAGTGTGTGAAAACTATTGCGATGCAAGGATCCCCAGGCATGCACCTGCGGGTTGTGTAGATGTCAGGCGCCATCCTGGCACCCAGGCATCTCCACTTGGTTGTAAGTGTCTGGTAGCCAGGTGCAAAATGTGCTTGGCCCCTGCTAGTTTTGAGCACTGCCACGGACTCTCATGACCTTAAATGACAAGATTATGCAGTTTTATAGATGGAAGCCCCATCAATGGGTATTGGGCACATCACTAAGTGGAACTTAGTGTTTTATTGTTATAAAAAATGTATACCGCTATGTTTTTTTAAAAAAAATATAGTTGCTGCTGAGAGAAGCAGTAGCAGCAGCAGAAGAGGGTCCTTCTGTGGGTTTCTCAGAAGCATCTGGCTGACGGCCGCAGGAGTCCAAAGCTGGACTAGGTGACGCTTTGTTCTCATCTAGCATCCAGGCTTTTTTGTGTTCTCATGCTGATTTCTTCCCTCCCTCCTTGTAGGGCTGGAATCTGCACGTGCGCACTGCTGCACACTCCAAGAAATGTGATGAGCTACGCCAACGGTAAGGCCTTTCATTTTAATTTATTGGGAATAGATTGAGGATTTGAAATGGTTTGAAAATGACTGCCTAGATAGCTCAGGGCTTTGCTAAAAGCAGCAGAGCCGTTGCTTACATGCCTTGCTACAAACCTCAGCCAAGGAAATTGTGGGAGTTCACCTTTGAAGGAACGGTGCCTGCTCTAGGTTGTGTTTTGCTTGAATTTGTTTAAGTGGTCTGTAGGCCGATTATGGAGCTGAACCAGGGAAGAAGGCAGAAGCTCAGAGGCATCTCATCTTGCATTCAGTGGCTTTTAGATGCCTGTGGAGCATGAGCAGAGTTTTATGAGGTGTGGCTTCAGGACAAACCAGTTCTTGGAGGAGCTGGGACCTGAATCTCATGCCAGGGACCTTTTGGAATACTGGATCAAAGAGTCAGGGAATCTTCATGGAATCACCTTTAAACTTCCCCAGAAGATCAGTAGTAAGAAATCAATAATTTGGACAAAAGGGAGAGAAGTACTTGACAGTTTTAGGAACTTGCCTGAATGAATGGAATGGAGTACGTGTACTATGTCAAATGAATAATACAGCTGTTTTGTTGGCTTTTTTTGAAATAGGCATCCTGAGTGGAATCCAGAAGACTGCCCTTTGTTACAGAGGTAACCTTTCAATCTCAACATGAATACTCAGTAATGAGAATTAGGCTGCAGTAATCTCATCCCTGACAGTACCCCCCCACCTCACCCCCCCCCTTGGAATAATATTTTCCGCCCTAGGTTACTGGTTGTCACTGACCAGTATATGTAGGAGCTGCTTAACTCAGACCTAACATTGATTGGGCAGCGGGGGGGGGGATTTTCACTCCGCTGGAACCCTTGTGTCTCCACACTCCTGTGGGGGCTTTTTGGGGGTGCGCTGAACTCTAGCGCTGCCCTCCAAGCCTCCCTGCCGGCTCCGTGTCGTGGACGACACTCAGCACACCGCCATTGTCCTCCGCAGCGGACCGGAAGTCAGGAGCTGCTCAACTCAGACTGCAGGCCCTCGTGTCTTCGTTCTAAGGCTCCAGGGGCCAGCTGGCTGAGCAGCTGTGGGTTGCACTGCAGCTAAGCCACTAGCAGGCAGGTAGCCATTGCCAGTGCAGGTGGCAGCCATAATTTTCTGGTATGAAGCTGGGCATTCTGTTCCCAGCATCTGAGTTCCTTTAGTCATTTGATGCTGCAGGCCCATCAGCCGTATTCTGTAGGCTTTTGATGCTTTTAGCTTTAACCCTGAGAGTTCTTACTTCTAGTTGATTTCCATTTGCAAAAATAACATCTTGGCAGATCTGATTTCTCCTTTTACATTTGAAAAAGAGAAGTCATTCAAATCCTGTTTTTTCTGCCTTTTGCAGACATGAAGGCGACAAGAAGGAAAAACATATTCCAATGCCATGCTCTACCAGTTCTAACCCAAACGCTTCAGAGCACTCAATATCTGGCCATGCCTCGAGTCGGACTCGGTCACGATCTAGGAGCCCTGGACCTCACAGCAGAAAACGGTCACGATCTAGGAGTTCTGAACGTTGCAGGAGAAAACGGTCACGATCTAGGAGTTCTGAACGTAGCAGGAGAAAACGGACACGATCTAGGAGTTCTGAACGTAGCAGGAGAAAACGGACACGATCTAGGAGTTCTGAACGTAGCAGGAGAAAACGGACACGATCTAGGAGTTCTGAACGTAGCAGGAGAAAACGGACACAATCTAGGAGTTCTGAACATTGCAGGAGAAAACGGTCACGATCTAGGAGCCCTGGGCCCCACAGCAGAAAATGGTCACGATCTAGGAGCCCTGGGCCCTGCAGCAGAAAACGGTCACTATCTAGGAGCCGCAGACATAGGTCCAGGTCTTCAGAGCGACGAAACTCCCCCAGCTCAAGTTCTCAAACCTCGTCTAGCCAGAAGAGAGAACTGAGAAAATCAACTAGATCTCCAGGTAAGGTGGATGTTACAGATGCTTCAGAAACTGGCCTTCGGTTTTTTCTAAGCAGGATTATGTGTGTGATATTGGCAGGCGTGTTGCAGTGGCTTTGGCTCAGTGAATAGTTTGTTCTGTTCTGGGCTTTTTCTCCTGGCTTTGTCATTGTGTCAATATAATGCCTGCCAAGGAGACCAAGCCTGTTCCTATATTGGATTGTGTGAGTGACTCTACAACCCATTTCAAAAGGGGATGTTGGTTGATCTCAGCCATTTCACTCCTCTGGAGTTTCCCCCACCCACTTTGTAGTTTTTACAGTTGCTTAGTACAATGACCTTCTTGCACTCATGCTATGCAGGGTAGAACCTTGTTGAAATTCAGCTGTGACCGAGGATCAGGGGAGATATTCTGCTGCTTCCCTGCAGTATTGTTGCCAAAGGTAGACCTGAAATTGTTGCAATAGAGCGTTGATGAACTGCAGGGGGGCGGGTATTGGTTCCTGTACGGATATCAGGGGGTTACTCGAGAGCAATCAGGCAAGTGCCTCCCTGGTCGGATGTAAAGCCTCGGTATTGGTGCCAAAAACCCTTCACCATGCAGAGCGCCACTATTCCGTGGCTCGCTCATTCACTGGCAGAATCTGTGAGTGGGCGGTCCTTAAACCTTCCCATCAGAGTAGTTTCTTGACTCCCAATCTGCGCCTCCCCTCTCAGCGCGGAAACCTACTGTGCAGAGAGGGCGTGGGTAACGGAGGACCTCTCTCCTCCCAGCTTTCGCCAGGCAAGCTGTCCTGGCACCGCCTCGCCTCCTCCGAGCCCTGAAGCTCCTCTACACTGGAGGCGTGGTTACTCTCCTCCGCTGAGGAGGAGCTGCTTCCCACGATCTTTGGGGGATCTCTGTAATCCATACGGCTTTTCCCCTCTCGCCCCTGAGGCAATGGCAGTTCCTTGACAGTTCCATTTGTTCTTCTTTTTTATTTTGTATCTTTTGGGTTTTTCATCTTGTATTTTTATGTTGTGAACCACCCTGAGATGTATGGATGGAGGGCAGTATACCAATTTAATAATACTGCTGCTAATCATAATAATGATCCACTTGCTTTTTCTCCCCCTCTTTAGCGTCATCTGCAGAAGCAGGAAGCTCCAGGAAACCTCCAGCCAAATCTGCTCTCCCAGGTCTGTGTCTGACACACTAACCACTACACCAGAGTGGCTCTTCATAATGGCCCGGGAGGATGGGAGGGGCTCAGCTGGAGCAGACCCTGATGCATTATTTGCTTACTGTCCCCTCTCTACTGGGCACCTCACTGTGTATAGTAGTTGATGGGAAATGATCATTTTGGGGGGTGGGAAGGGGATATCCAGTAGGAGCAAGCTCCAAGGTGGCCTTTGCCCTTGGCATCCTCTCTCCTGGAATTTAGTTGGCATCCATCTGTGTTGCATAACAGAATCATGCCTTTTTCAGCAGGACCTATGGTACCTTCAGTGGCTTCGTTTATGCCTCCGTCTTCAGAATCTCCATCTCCATCAATGATGAATGATTATCATGCTGTGTCGCCAACAGTACTTCCACACGTGTGTTCTCTGTGTAAAATAGAATGTTCAAGTATGATGGTGAGTTCTTTGTTTTTGCAGAAAAAAAGTGCACACGGTTGTATTGAGCCCAGGATGAGTGTATTTTCCACTCTGGCTTTCAAGCAGATCTTACGCTATGAGGACTGGTTGATGTTATCCTGGGGAAGTCAACATGGTGACTTCCAAATGTTGTTGGACAGCATCACTGCAGCATATCTCCCCTCCCCTAATCCCCAAGGAGACATCTCTGCCACCTCAGGGCCTCATGAATCCCCACATCCAGAAAGCCCATTTGACATCGGTGGGATTCAAACCTGACACCATGTCTGGAGACTCTGTCTTATCTGACTTGGAGCTGCTGTTGTCTATTTTAATATTAAATGCATTGCACAGTATTGAACATTGTCCAGTGTTAAACTCATACACAGGACTGAAGGGCAGGTGAGTGTGTGTTTCTACTCTGCTGTAGAAACTCAGATACAGTGGTGCCTCGCAAGACGAAATTAATCCGTTCCGCGAATCTCTTCGTTTTGCGGTATTTTCATCTTGCGAAGCACGGCTATTAGCGGCTATTAACGGCTTAGCGGCTATTAACAGCTTAGCGGCTTAAAGAAAAAGGAAACAAACTCGCAAGAATTCGCAAGACGTTTCGTCTTGCGAAGCAAGCCCATAGGGAAATTCGTCTTGCGGAACGACTCAAAAAACAGGAAAACCCTTTCATCTAGCGAGTTTTTCGTCTTGCGAGGCATTCGTCTTGCGGGGCACCACTGTATATAACCTAGGTGACAAATGGCTTCTTAACCCAAGGTGTCAGTTGGCAAAAAACCTATATACCGTATATACCATTAGGGTTTTTTTTTTAATAGTTGCTGCTCAGCAGCAGAGGAGGGCCCTTCTGTGGGTTTCTCAGAAGCATACTGACTGACTGCCGCAGTAGATGGGATGCTGGACTAGGTGACACTTTGTTCTCATCTATCGGCCGGGCTTTTTTATGTTCTTATGCTGATTTCTTCCCTCCCTCCCTGTAGGGATGGAATCTGCACGTGCGCACTGCTGCACACTCCGAGAAATGTGATGAGCTACGCCAACAGTAAGGCCTTTCATTTTAATTTATTGGGAATAGATTCAGGATTTGAAATGGTTTGAAAATGACTGCCTGGATACCTCAGGGCTTTGCTAAAAGCAGCAGAGCCGTTGCTTACATGCCTTGCCACAAACCTCAGCCAAGGAAGTTGTGGGAGTTCACCTTTGAAGGAACGGTGCCTGCTCTAGGTTGTGTTTTGCCTGAATTTGTATAAGTGGTCTGTAGGCCGATTGTGGAGCTGAACCAGGGAAGAAGGCAGAAGCTCAGAGGCATCTCATCTTGCATTCAGTGGCTTTTAGATGCCTGTGGAGCATGAGCAGAGTTTTATGAGGTGTGGCTTCAGGACAAACCAGTTCTTGGAGGAGCTGGGACCTGAGTCTCATACCAGGGAGCTTTTGGAATACTGGATCAAAGAGTCAGGGAATCCTCATGGAATCACCTTTAAACTTCCCCAGAAGATCAGTAGTAAGAGATCAATAATTTGGACAAAAGAGAGAGAAATAATTGAAGTTTTAGAAACTTGCCTGAATGATAGTTTCCTGCTTGGCAGGGGGTTGGACTCGATGGCCCTTGTGGTCTATTCCAACTCTATGATTCTATGATTCTATGATAATGGAATGGAGTACATGTACTGTGTCAAATGAATAACACAGCTGTTTTGCTGGCTTTTCTTGAAACAGGTATCCTGACTGGAATCCAGAAGAATGCTCTTCGTTACAGAGGTAACCTTCTAATCTCAACATGAATACTCAGTAATGAGAATTAGGCTGCATTAATCTCAATTCCCTCTTGTCCCCGATTGTGTGGGTTTTTGGAGACATTTTGAATGGGAAATTTGCATCAGGGCATTCTGCACTGGGACATTTTCTGATGCTCAAGAAAGTGATCTGTGATCTAATTCTGGTCTTTCATTGTATTTAATAGAGAAAACTCAAAACTGAAAACTGCAAGTATCTGCAGTTGGCCCCCGTTCATTCCTTCTTAGGAACCATGTAACAAAGAACACTTCTGCAGAAAAAGTAACCAACCCCCCCCCCCAGATAATATTTTCCACCCCAGGTTACTGGTTGTCACTGACCCCGTACATGTAGGAGCTGCTTAACTCAGGCTGCAGGTCTTCGTTCTAAGGCTCCAGGGGCCAGCTGGCTGAGCAGCTGTGGGTTGCACTGCAGCTAAGCCACTAGCAGGCAGCCAGTGCAGGTGGCAGCCATAATTTTCTGGTATGAAGCTGGGCATTCTGTTCCCAGCATCTGAGTTCCTTTAGTCATTGGATGCTGCAGGCCCATCAGCCGTATTCTGTAGACTTTTGATGCTTTTACCTTTAATCCTGAGAATTCCTACTTCTACAGTGGTGCCTCGCAAGTCGAAAAGAATCCGTTCCGCGAGTCTCTTCGTCTTGCGGTTTTTTCGTCTTGCGAAGCAAGCCCATTAGCGGCTTAGCGCTATTAGCGGCTTAGCGGATCAGCTGATAAGCGGCTTAGCGGATCAGCTGTTTAGCGGCTTAGAGGATCAGCTGATAAGCGGCTTAGAGGCTTGGGGAAAAGGGGGGGAGGGAGGAAAAAAAACCCTGCAGGAACTCGCAAGACATTTGCATCTTGCGAAGCAAGCCCATAGGAAATTCGTTTTGCGAAGCACCTCCAAAACGGAAAACCCTTTCGTCTAGTGGGTTTTCCGTCTTGCGAGGCATTCGTCTTGCGAGGCATCACTGTAGTTGATTTCCGTTTGCAAAAAATAACATTTTGACAGATCTGATTTCTCCTTTTACATTTGAAAAAGAGAAGTCATTCAAATCCTGTTTTTTCTGCCTCTTGCAGACATGAAGGTGACAAGAAGGAAAAACATATTCCAATGCCATGCTCTACCAGTTCTAACCCAAACGCTTCAGAGCGCTCAATATCTGGCCATGCCTCGAGTCAGACTGGGTCACGATCTAGGAACTACAGACGTAGGTCCAGGTCTTCAGAGCGACCAAGCTCCCCCAGCTCAAGTTCTCAAAGCTCTTCTAGTCAGAAGAGAGAACTGGGAAAAATCAACTGAATCTCCAGGTAAGGTGGATGTTACAGATGCTTCATTAACTGGCCTTTGGTTTTTTGTAAGCAGGATTATGTGTGTGATAATGGCAGGCGTGTTGCAGTGGCTTTGGCTCAGTGAATAGTTTGTTCTGTTCTGGGCTTTTTCTCCTGGCTTTGTCATTGTGTCAATATAATGCCTGCCAAGGAGACCAAGCCTGTTCCTATATTGGATTGTGTGAGTGACTCTACAACCCATTTCAAAAGGGGATGTTGGTTGATCTCAGCCATTTCACTCCTCTGGAGTTTCCCCCCACCCACTTTGTAGTTTTTACAGTTGCTTAGTACAATGACCTTCTTGCACTCATGCTATGCAGGGTAGACCTTTGTTGCAAGGGGGGTGGTATTGGTTCCATTTTGTTCTTGTTTCTATTTTGTATGTTTTGGGTTTTTCATCTTGTATTTTTATGTTGTGAACCGCCCTGAGATGGATGGATGGAGGGCGATATACCAATTTAATACTATTGTTAATAATAATGAGCCGCTTGCTTTTTCTCCCTGTCTTTAGTGTCGTCTGCAGAAGCAGTCAGCTCCAGGAAACCTCCAGCCAAATCTGCTCTCCCAGGTCTGTGTCTGACACACTAACCACTACACCAGAGTGGCTCTTCATAATGGCCCGGGAGGATGGGAGGGGCTCAGCTGGAGCAGACCCTGATGCATTATTTGCTTACTGTCCCCTCTCTACTGGGCACCTCACTGTGTATAGTAGTTGATGGGAAATGATCATTTTGGGGGGTGGGAAGGGGATATCCAGTAGGAGCAAGCTCCAAGGTGGCCTTTGCCCTTGGCATCCTCTCTCCTGGAATTTAGTTGGCATCCATCTGTGTTGCATAACAGAATCATGCCTTTTTTCAGCAGGACCTATGGTACCTTCAGTGGCTTCGTTTATGCCTCCGTCTTCAGAATCTCCATCTCCGTCAATGATGAATGATTATCATGCTGTGTCGCCAACAGTACTTCCACACATGTGTTCTCTGTGTAAAATAGAATGTTCAAGTATGATGGTGAGTTCTTTGTTTTTGCAGAAAAAAAGTGCACACGGTTGTATTGAGCCCAGGATGAGTGTATTTTCCACTCTGGCTTTCAAGAAGATCTTACGCTATGAGGACAATGGCACCCAGGCATCTCCACTTGGTTGTAAGTTTCTGATAGCGAAGTGCAAGATGTGCTTGGCACGTGGCTAGTTTTGAACACTGCCACAGAGTCTCATGACCTTTAATGACCAGATTTGAGGTTTAATGGACGGAAGTCACATCAGTTTTGGGCATATCACTAAGTGGAACTTAGTGTTTTATTTTTATAAAAAAATGAATATGCTTGAAAATGAATATTCAAAAAAATGAATATGCTTGAATGAAAATGATTTTTTTTAAAAGAATAGTTTCTGCTGGGAGAAGCAGCAGCAGCAGCAGCAGCAGCAGAAGAGGGCCCTTCTGTGGGTTTCTCAGAAGCATCTGGCTGACGGCCACAGGAGAAGGGATGCTGGACTAGGTGATGCATTGTTCTCTAGCATCCAGGCTTTTTTGTGTTCTCATGCTGAATTCTTCCCTCCTTCCTTGTAGGGCTGGAATCTGCACGTGGGCAGTATTCACACTTCAAGAAATGTGATGAGCTACGCCAACGGTAAGGCCTTTCATTTTAATTTATTGGGAGTAGATTGAGGATTTGAAATGGTTTGAAAATGACTGCCTGGATACCTCTGTCAGGATTCACAGAATGCTGTGTGAGATAGCAAGTCTGCAGGCTTGGGTTTGCTAGCTGATGCAACTGGCTGATACAATCTGCCTGCAACACTTTCTATGGAAGTGCTGGGTCAGAATGACTCAGCAGTAATGTGCTGTCAGTTGATTGGCTGTCATCGGTTTAAAAGGGAAACCTGTCCAGCAGCAAGGTGGTGGTGTAGAGAAGTGTGGTCAGAAAGAGAGAGTTAGAGGTCTTCCTATTTGCTTTAAGGTGCAGCCAGATACTCTGTTTGACTGTATGAACTGCTTGTGTATTATAGCCTGTAGATATTTGTATATATATATCTTGTTGTTTAGTCGTTTAGTCGTGTCCGACTCTTCGTGACCCCCTGGACCAGAGCACGCCAGACACTCCTGTCTTCCACTGCCTCCCGCAGTTTGGTCAAACTCATGCTGGTAGCTTCGAGAACACTATCCAACCATCTCTTCCTCTGTCGTCCCCTTCTCCTTGCGCCCTCCATCTTTCCCAACATCAGGGTCTTTTCCAGGGACTCGACTCTTCTCATGAGTTGGCCAAAGTATTGGAGCCTCAGCTTCAGGATCTGTCCTTCCAGTGAGCACTCAGGGCTGATTTCCTTAAAAATGGAGAGGTTTGAACTTCTTGCAGTCTCATGTTGCAGTCCCATCTTGCGTTCTGTGGCTTTTAGATGCCTATGGAGCATGAGCAGAGTTTTACGAGGGGTGGCTTCAGGACAAACCAGTTCTTGGAGGAGCTGGGACCTGAATCTCATGCCAGGGACCTTTTGGAATACTGGATCAAAGAGTCAGGGAACCACCTTTAAACTTCCCCAGAAGATCAGTAGTAAGAGATCAATAATTTGGACAAAAGAGAGAGAAATAATTGACAGTTTTAGAAACTTGCCTGAATGATAATGGAATGGAGTACATGTACTGTGTCAAATGAGTAACACAGCTGTTTTGCTGGCTTTTCTTGAAACAGGTATCCTGACTGGAATCCAGAAGAATTTTCTTTGTTACAGAGGTAACCTTTTAATCTCAACATGAATATTCAGTAATGAGAATTAGGCTGCAGTAATCTCAATTCCCTGTTCTCCCCAATGGTATGGGTTTTCAGAGACATTTTGAGTGGAAAATTTGTGTGAGGGCCTTCTGCACTGGGACATTTTCTGATGCCCAGGAAAGTGATCTGTGATCTAATTCTGGTCTTTCATTGTATTTAATAGAGAAAACACCATTGCCTCGTAAAATTTCTGCAAGTCCTGGAGGGCATTGTTTCCTGCCGCTATCAGGGGTCTCACCCATTCCCGGGCAGCGCTTTCTAAGTGGGAAACTACAAATGCCACCCTTTCCTCAGCATCGGCAAATTCCTTCTTTTGCAAGTCCAGGGTGTATTTAATTTCAGTCTTAAAGGCAAGGTACTCTTGAGAGTTGCCGCTAAATTTGCTCACCAGCCCCGGTACCTTTCTCCCCACCGGAGTTGCTTTGATGTGCTGCTCCTGCAACCTGCGCTCCTCCAGCCTTGTTGTAAGGTCAGCGACATATGCTTCCAGCTCCACGTTCCTCTGCACCAGGGCCGCTATATTCCATGCCTCCTCTTCCTCAGCACCTCTGCCTGCAGCTCCTTGCTCCTCTGGCCTCCCTTTATTATTTTGACTCATCATGCTGCTCTTCACTGCTACACGCGAACAACCGCAAAGACTCCCGGATTGCTGTCAGATGCTGCTGCTGGTTGCTCGCGAGTAACCAGGCAGGATTCCAAACCTGTCTTTTACAGGTTTTATTGTGCAAACTATTTACAGTGCAAATCTCCAAAGTTCATGTCCATCTTAGTCACTTGCAGAATCCAGGAGTGGCCCCTTCTGGTTTCTCCCCCAACATAAGAACTTTGACACCCCAAGCCTCCGCCTCCACTCCTTGCATTTCACCGCTCTGCACAAGCTGGGCGATGGAAGTGGCGTGCGTCTCTCCTGGCCAGCCCGGCAAGGTGAGGCGCTGGGGCTCTCTGCAGCATCCTCGAGTCCTTCCCTCACTTCTCCACTGGAGATGTGGCTTTTCTCACTGCTGGAAGAGGAACTGCTTCTCAGGAATTTTGGAAGCTTTCTGTATTCCAACGGGCCACCCTGCCTCCCTCCCCTGTTCCAATGTAAGTCCCCTGACAGTAACCCCCCGGGATAATATCCCCCCCCCAGGTTACTGGTTGTCACTGAGCAGTACATGTAGGAGCTGCTCAACTCAGGCTGCAGGTCTTCGTTCTAAGGCTCCAGGGGCCAGCTGGCTGAGCAGCTGTGGGTTGCACTGCAGCTCAGCCACTAGCAGGCAGGTAGCCATTGCCAGTGCAGGTGGTAGCCATAATTTTCTGGTATGAAGCTGGGCATTCTGTTGCCAGCATCTGAGTTCCTTTAGTCATTGGATGCTGCAGGCCCATCAGCCGTATTCTGTAGGCTTTTGATGCTTTTAGCTTTAACCCTGAGAGTTCTTACTTCTAGTTGATTTCCATTTGCAAAAATCACATTTTGACAGATCTGATTTCTCCTTTTACATTTGAAAAAGAGAAGTCATTCAAATCCTGTTTTTTCTGCCTTTTGCAGACATGAAGGCGACAAGAAGGAAAAACATATTCCAATGCCATGCTCTACCAGTTCTAACCCAAACACTTCACAGCACTCAATTCCTGGCCATGCCTCAAGTCAGACTCGGTCACGATCTAGGAGCCCTGGACCCCACAGCAGAAAACGGTCACGATCTAGGAGCCCTGGGCCCCACAGCAGAAAACGGTCACGATCTAGGAGCCCTGGGCCCCACAGCAGAAAACGGTCACGATCTAGGAGCCCTGGGCCCCACAGCAGAAAACGGTCACGATCTAGGAGCCCTGGGCCCCACAGCAGAAAACGGTCACGATCTAGGAGCCACAGACATAGGTCCAGGTCTTCAGAGCGACGAAGCTCCCCCAGCTCAAGTTCTCAAACCTCGGCTAGCCAGAAAAGAGAACTGAGAAAATCAACTAGATCTCCAGGTAAGGTGGATGTTACAGATGCTTTAGTAACTGGCCTTTGGTTTTTTCTAAGCAGGATTATGTGTGTGATAATGGCAGGCGTGTTGCAGTTCTGTTCTGGGGTTTTTCTCCTGGCTTTGCCATTGTGTCAATATAATGCCTGCCAAGGAGACCAAGCCTGTTCCTATATTGGATTGTGTGAGTGACTCTACAACCCATTTCAAAAGGGGATGTTGGTTGATCTCAGCCATTTCACTCCTCTGGAGTTTCCCCCACCCACTTTGTAGTTTTTACAGTTGCTTAGTACAATGACCTTCTTGCACTCATGCTATGCAGGGTAGAACCTTGTTGCAAATTCAGCTGTGACCGAGGATCAGGGGAGATATTCTGCTGCTTCCCTGCAGTATTGTTGCCAAAGGTAGACCTGAAGTTGTTGCAATAGAGTGTTGATGAACTGCGGGGTGGCGGGTATTGGTTCCATTTTGTATCTTTTGGGTTTTTTAATTTTGTATTTTTATGTCGTGAACCGCCCTGAGATGGATGGATGGAGGCCGGTGCAGTCGTACCTCATGTTAAACATTTTAAGGTTAAACATTTTAAGGTTTCGCCGCATGCACAGATGCTCAAAATGATGTCGCTCATGCGCGGAAGCGCCAAATCGCGACCCGCGCACGTGCGGACGCGGGTTGCATTCGCTTCAGGATGCAAACAGGGCTCAGGAACAGATCCTGTTTGCATCCAGAGGTAGCACTGTATACCAATTTAATAAATATTACTACTACTAATAATAATGAGCCACTTGCTTTTTCTCCCCCTCTTTAGCATCGTCTGCAGAAGCAGGAAGCTCCAGGAAACCTCCAGCCAAATCTGATGCGGCAGAACAACCACCCAAGAAGTCGGAGCATCCACTGCAGACAAATCCTGGCCACCAGGAGCCGCCCAAGAAGGAGGTCGCAATGCGGGAACAAGGAGACCAGCAACTTCCATCCAAATCTGATGTGGCAAAACAACCACCCAACAAGTCTGACCAGCCACTACTGACAAATCCCGGCCATCAGGAGCTGCCCAAGAAGGAGGCAGCAACGCAGGAACAAGCAGACCGGCAACCTCCAGCCAAATCTGATGTGGCAGAACAACCACCCAAGAAGTCGGAGCATCCACTGCAGACAAATCTCGACCATCAGGAGCTGCCCAAGATGGAGGCAGCAACACAGGGACAAGGAGACCGCCAACGTGAAGATCATATGCGCTTTTCATTGACACCATTTGTAGAACAAAGTGTCATGCAGGCCCTGTCGCTGCTGCAGCCTGGAGGCACAGTGGGTGCTGGACTCACCCAAGGAACAAGCTTGCCCCCACTTCCTGCTTTGCAGATCGAGGCAGCATCCCTATCCCTTGTCTCCATGATGCAGCTTGTTGCAACACAGGTATTGCAAGCTGCCTTAAGTGTGCAGGAAAGCCCAAGTGTGGCTGGCCCAAGCCCCCAGTTAAGTATTCCTGCAGGAAGCGAAGAAAAGAAGCAGGAGAGCAGTCAGGAAGTGGTGCCAGGAGTCGTTCCTCCTTGCTCAGGTGAGGAGTTGTCGGGAAGGGGGCTGAGGGTGGGTCTGGCTGTAGAGGGAGGTTGTTCTGTGTTGGAGATATCCGTCAAGACTTGCATTGGTGATATAATGCACAGTCCCTGCTCAGGTTCAGGACTGCCCTGAGATCCAGCCGGCTTCTCTGGTAGTGGTGAACACACCTGTGCTGTTGCTTCTAGGGTGCAGGGATCTTTTCTGCAATCCATTGGTCTGGTCGACTGGTTCCTTTCGTGGCATACCGAATACACAATGGTATGTGATTTTACTGATTTGCGGCTACATTTCTATCCTCCAGTGAGCTCAAGGCGGCATACATGGTTCTCCTGCTCCTCATTTCACCCCACAACAACCCTGAGAGCCAGTGTGGTGTAGTGGTTAAGAGCAGTGGACTCGTAATCTGGTGAACCGGGTTTGATTACCTGCTCCTCCACATGCAGCTGCTGGGTGACCTTGGGCCAGTCACACTTCTCTGAAGTCTCTCAGCCTCACTCAACTCACAGAGTGTTTGTTGTGGGAGAGGAAGGGAAAGGAGAATGTTGGCCGCTTTGAGACTCTTCTTCTTCTTCTTCAACATCACCCACTGAGTTTAAAGCTGAGTGGGGATTTGAACTCGGGTCTCCCTGGCCCTAGTCCAGCACTCTCACCACTTCACTACGCTGGCTCTTGGGCCAGTGAGGAAAAATGCTAGTTAAGGCTTCAAGAGCTGTGCCAGGAGAGCTGGCGCATTGCTGTTTAGGTGTTCAAATTGCTGTGGATGGATCTCTTGTGCTTCAAATTCAGCTTGATGGAGAAGCAAGCGATTCTCAAGGAAACGGAAGTAATGAAGTCAGATCAGGGTTGTGTCAGAGCACATGTTGCTTATATTGTGGTTTGAGGTTTTGCCGAACAGCAAGCTACAGATATTCAAGTATGTTAACTGAGTATGAAAGGCTTGCGAGAATTTATTAATCCTCCAGTTCTCTTTAGCACATAGTTTGTGGATAGTATCAAATCTAGATATTTTGCTAAGGGTCAGGGATGATGGGAGCTGGGAGTCCTGCATTGCAGGGGTTGGACTACAGGACTCTTGGGGACTTCTCCAACTCTACAATTCTGTGATTCCATTCACAGCACCTGGATGGCACCAGGATCCTCTATTCTTGACATAGGCCAACACTGCCATGGACAAGAGGGGAGTCAGAGATTTGCTTGCAGGTCACCAGTCTGGGTGATTGAAGAGGATTGTATTCTCTTTATTCAGTCATTTAGGGTGGGGTGAACGTTATTTAACAGAATCACAGAACCTTTGAATTGTGGAGTTGGAAGGGACCCAAAGCGTCGTCTAGTACAACCCCCTGCAATGCAGTACTTGCATGGATGCTTTATAGGTCTCATGGGGTTGCCTCATCAGCTGCCTGGGGTGGGGCTCCCAGAAGCCAGTAGCACAGTGCCAGGGAGCTGCTAGTCATTTCCCTACAATTATAGAATCATAGAATTGTAGAGTTGGAAAAGACCACAAGAGTCATCTAGTCTAACCTGCTGCAATGCAGGAATCTTATGCCTAACGTGGGACTTGAACCCATGTCCCTGTGATCCAAAGCCTCATGGTCTACCACCTGAGCTACAAAGGCTGCACTTAATGGGGTACTTGGAGGCATTAGTGGCGGTATCACTTTTTGGGGGGGGTGTTAAATCATTTTTATTAATTTCCCAATAAAAAACATCCAATTAACATATCAAATCATAATCCAATTAAAATAAAAAACTAAAATATAAAAAGACCAAATTACCATCCAAATTATTGTTATTAATTTTTCGGGGCTTCCCATAGTCTGGACCTTGAAGCATGTCCAAATCTCAGTCCTGCCTCTCCTCGTTGTTTCAATATTTTCCACATCTCGATTTTAACGCTTTAAAGTTCTCCTTCTCTGGCTCTGTGATTCTCAGTCATGTCAGACATCATATATCCTTGCATCTATCGAATACAGCTTTATTTGTATATATATCTTTTTTCAACTGTCTTTTTGCCCACGCAGCTTTCTCTGATTCCAGATTCCATTCCAATCTAAGCTGTTTTCCAAATCTGTTATCTGAAGTTTCTGAAATTTAATGACGCAGCAACTCCCAAATTGTTAATCCTTCCAGTCCGGGCTGTTGTCCAAACCTTCCTTTTGAGATTTAATAATGCGGTACCTTCCACATTATTGAGTTCTTCTTAATAATTGTTGAGCAGACTGTTTGCAATATTGTAAGATAAATAAACTGTATTCCACAAATATCAGCCATCTGGCGATCGATCAGCCTTCCTGGAGACACAGTCCCCCTCCGGGCCCTAGAGGGGGGCAGCTAGGCATCCATCTAGCCTTCGCTCTCGCTCTTAATGAAAAAACCTTCTGCAAACAGCTGCACTGTATCTTATCCAAAATATTGTCTCAAATCATTGTAATCAGCCAGTAAATAGTTCCTGTTTCTCTCAAAGAAGGGAGGATGTCACATTTTCCCGTGCTGCATAGTACTGACAGGCGCCATCTCCCCCCCCCCCAAATATCTTTAGGAAGCATTTCAAGTCTTAAGTAAAGCTGTGCAGTTGAATCCCCAATTTTAAATAGAAGTCCATTTGTACTCTTTTTTTTTTTTAAATTAAGTTCTTAATGAGGCTTGGCATGGAAAGCCAATTGTAGATGTTAAGAAGAGAGAAAAAAGAACATACCAAACACCTCCACAATCCACACACCATGATGAGAATCTCTTTGAAGTCCAAGCTTGTGCACCAGAGACTATACAATTCTGCAGGTTTTTTCTTAAGCTTCTTCGTTCCAGACCATGTCTGTTTATTGTCCAAATCTAGTCATTTCTTCAAACAGATATTCCCGGCTATGAGAATGACATCGGAGAGTGCCAACCTTCCCTTGCTCTGCGACCCAGTGTCCTGCCGCTTGCACCTTGATGCAAGTTGGCAATCTCGGACAATCTGTGGGTCTACGAGACAGTCCTCCCCCAACCTGGGGAGGCTTGCAGGGCTAATTACCCCCATATTAGCCCTGAATTACCGGGACGGCTGGGGTCAGGTCATATGGGAGTCAGCCATCACATTGACTTTGTTTCTGTTTAGTTCCAGCCCCTGCCCATAAGGTTTTCTGGACACAGTTGTGTGCAAGGAAGCGCATGCTGGTGTCCAGGAGAGAATCTCACCTTGGGCTGGGTCACAGGCTGCATGTCGTGTGGCTGGGTTAGGAGGACATGCATGATTTGGGAGCAGCTGGTGCCTCCAGATGTTATCCAGCAGCTGGGCGAGAATAACTTGGGCACACAGAAAGGCATAGAGCTCAACTGGAACATGCAGAGGAACTTTGGTGCACCAAGCAGTTCCCAGCAGCCGAGATCATCTGTTCTGATCTGTTGCAGAGGCTTTGTTGGAAAGACATCAGTGCGCTTGCAAAGATTAATTGCGCACAGAGGGAAATCAACAGGGCGATCACGTTCTTTGTGAAGTCCCGTGGCTGGGGTGTCATTCAGCAGCCAGGCATTTATTTTGATCGCTCAGAACTACACGGAAGATGGCTATAAATCTCTCAGACAAGGGCATTGACAAATGGCTGAAGAACATCTGTTCTGGTCTTTTGGAGCTGGTGTAGTTTCCATCAGTGAGGCGTCAGTCCAGCTTGGACATTGGCAAGAACTATAGTGCTGCTGCTGGGTATTGTGCATAGGGTACCTAAAGATGCTAAGGGAGAGGGATGTTTCCTTAAGGAGCCATGGCACTTTGAGTCCTCAGCTGGTCAGCATTGGAGCCTTAGCTTGGTGGCTGCAGGCACATCGAACAGTCCAGATTGTCTGCTGCTTTGAGCTACTGCCCAGGTTATCCATCAGTCATTTTTGTCTCTTGCCAGCAGCCGCCTCTGGACTTTCCGTTCCCTCATCTAATTGTCATCACGTGAGGAAGAGCTGGGATTTGTTGCCAGCATCCCTTTCTCCGTTGCATCCTCTTACTGCCCTGCTGCACTTCCATGCGTTGGGAAAGTGAACAGCCGCAGTGAGGGCATCACAGAGAATTCTGAATCTCTGAAGTCTGATCTTGTGGGAATACAAATGGACCTAATATTTGGGCTGCCCCTGCCAACTATGTCTAGGAAGCTGCCAACGGGGAAAACATGGCCTGTTCCAACTCAGCTGTGTGCGTGGATTCCTGAAGTTGGTGTGAACGGTTGCAAAAACTGAAGCCATCAGAACAGAAAATTCACAGGATGGCAAAGCGCAGGAGAACATGCTGTCTCCTTGGAGAGTACTTTCTCCTTGGAGAGTATTTTCTATACCCGTGTTCCTCAAACTTGAATTCTCAGCTGTTGTTGGACTATAACTCCCATCATCCATAGCTAGCAGGACCAGTGATCATGGATGGTGGGGGTTGTAGTGTAGCCTTATTGGAGTTCACCGATTGGGTCTGCGTTGCTCCGGGACAGGAGGAAGGAAGTCAAATGACACCGAGGTTGATTCCAAGAAAGAGTTTATTCTGCTCTCCGGATAGCAGAAGGCACTTGCGTGGTCAAGTCCACAGCAAGTCCAAAGAAATGACAGGTTTCATGCAGTTTATATATCCTCCAGGCACCCTCTCACTCCTCTCCTAGGAGCCCAACCACGTCGGCCTACGTACACAGGTTGACATCACATATGTTCCTGCACTGGTACTCTCAACCATAAAAGGATCTTCCTTCCTGCACTTCTGACCATAAAAGGATCTTCCTCTTCCTACTCTTACCTGGGAGAATAGGTCATCATCTGCGGGAACACGCTATGGCGCTGTTCCCAGATTGGGTCTGTGCGTCTTTGTGGTCAGCACATAAGATAAAGCACATACACATCATCCCTGCTGTACTGGAACTTGGCAAGGTCACTCATTGCCGCCACGGACTGATAAGGGAGAGAGCTTCGAGCACAGCTGGGTTTTTGTTTATACATTGACTCAGAGCTCAAGTTAATGGATTTTAGCTAAGGAAAAATAGGGGTTTTGGTGCA